ATATATATATATATATGCGTAGGCGCTTAATATTGCGCGTGCCTGTGTGCTAGTGAATTTTATACCTCATGGTGTGTGTGGTGCCCTCTCCTGGTGTGCCGAGAGTGAAGTGATAGAGTATTTCCTGCGAGTGCTTTTGCGCTTGTTTATGACCACATATATAGCTGAAACAAAATCTAGTCAAATAGCTCACGCACGAACCTGTCCAACCGGCTATGACCTGATTCGGAGCAAACTTAATCGGTGTTCCACGGTCCACGCTGCTGTCAAAGACTGTCCCGTCGATAAGTGTACCGTGGTAGTGGCACATACATGGTGAACTTACTGTGGGGTGGTGGAGTCCACTTCCTTTATTCAACACCTTGTATTGCAATCCACTGTTCAACTCAATAACTCCCTCTTGAGCTTTGTTTGCTTCTAGAAACGCGATGCCGTCTTCCTTGGGCCCCGCAAGCACTGAGCTGGAGCATATAGCCAACACGGCTAAAACAAAGTTTACAAATATCATTTTAAAACACCTAGATAGATAGAAGTAAAGGTTTGTAACTTTGTACATTCATATTTATTGACGTTCAAAAGTCACCATTACTACAAATACCCCCAGAGTGTAGAAAATATTCATCATTTTCGACTTTCGTCCGTCGGACACTCGGGCGTGGTTCTTATTTTTTGTTCTATGTCTGTTTTTCTTTTCTCTCCACCAGCAGAATCAGAGGAGGAGAGAGAGAGAGAGAGAGAGCAGAGCCCAGAGCCCAGAGCCCAGAGCCCAGAGCCCAGAGGCCGGCAGAGGGTCATAAATAAATAGATACCTCATGACACTTTGTTGTTGTTTTTTGTTTATTTTTTAATTTCTTTTCCACACAGCAGGGGGGTATTTTTGGCTTTTGCCTCTCTGAAATAAGTACCATAGCCACCCATACATGATGACCCTTTTTTTTTTTTAAACAAAATGCTATTTACGCGCCCCAGTCCCCAGACTGCTAACCCTTTTTTTTTTTATTTAAGGTCCGTTTTGGTCCATGGACAAAACAAATAGGTAGACAAAATCAGGCAAGGGCCTTGGGGCCCCGATAATTGACTAATTCCCGAGTCACGACTCACTCGTGCTGACTGTCGACTGCCCCAGTGACAGTCACAGTGCCACTGGTCGGTTGTCACAAGAGGAACCACTCTGGGAGTTTGGGTCGGTTGTCACAAGAGGAACCACTCTGGGAGTTTGGGTCGGTTGTCACAAGAGGAACCACTCTGGGAGTTTGGGTCGGTTGTCACAAGAGGAACCACTCTGGGAGTTTGGGTCCTGGGGTCTCCTGGACAACAAATATAATCAAAAACGGTTAAAATTGTTACAACTTTTTTAAATGTTTACAAATAGTCTTCTCGTTGTTATTTTCATGGCCTCTGGAAGTCTTCGGGGGTGAATTGTATTTAGTCGTTGTTCGAGAGACTTTTTTTTAAAATTTCCAGAGGCCATGTTATTTTACGGAGTTTTTGTTTTGTTTTTTTTAAACAACAAAATCACCTCTCGCAAAAACAGCTGTGGTCAGGGTGCTCCCAGCGGGCCCAGCCCTGGCAGGCTGGCACTGCTGAGTGCTGACCGGCTGCCACTGGCTGGCCCCTGTGACATCCAATATATTTTTTGTTCATGACAACCCCCCTCTCACTATATATATATATATATATATATATATATGCCTTCCAACTATTTTTACTGCATACATATATCAAAAAAATATACTTAGTGGGTGTATCATGTACGTACAGTAACTACAGATTATCGACCGAAGCACACTGTCAACCACACTTTCAATCACGCTTTATTTTGATTCCTCACAAACAGTACAATGGGCCGACTCAGTACCGCATATTGCAGAAGTCATGTAGGTTTAAAATTTGTATTGGCACTAGCTTCGACTATGATAATTGCAACAATTTTATTGAGCCCTCCTGAGCAAAATTCATATGAAAAGCGAGATAAATACATTGTTGATGTCCTACCACATGAACCGCCGATAGTGACGATTGTCGACACACAACCAGAAATTACCTCGTTGACGAAACTGCGAGAGGAGTGTGACAACTTGGCGTCTCTGTGGGACTCGCACAACATTGACAGCATCGACGACAAATCATGTGAACGTATTCAAGAGTCATGCGGGGTGCCAGACTGTCATGAAGCCATCATAGACGGAGTGATCACTTGGGTGGACGGGAGTGACCCTGTTTTTCGTGCGGGCTATTTGAATACGCTCGAATATGCTGCTGCGTTAGATCCTCGGCACAAACCGGGTACTAAGAAATTGAGGGAAGGTGGTGTGCGTGATTTTGGTCAATTAAGGTATGCTTTGCGCAGTATCGCGGCAAATGCGCCATGGATTCGGCGCATATTTTTAATCACGGACAATCAATGGCCGGATTGCCTTCTACCGGCAAATGAAACGCTCAAGCTACGACATGTAACGCATGATCAGCTGTTTGATTTTTACTACCAAGCAAGACACCCTGATCGGATAGATGCGCAGCGTTTGCCGTCTTACAATAGTATTGCACTGGAGCTTATGACACCTTTCATCCCTAAACTAGGCCGCATGTACCTGGCCTTCAGTGACGATATGTCGTTTCTGAATCCAACTCCACTGAGCTTTGTCTACAATAAGGAAAGTGGGAGGGGGGTGTTGCACATGTGGGAACGGTTTGATAATCCGCTGTTAGAAGGGAGGGCGGCAGTTTCAAAGCGATGGGCTACAGAATACTTTGGTGGATCTGTGATAGATTGCCCTTTGAGACGGCGGCATGGCTGTGCTATACCGGCACACGGCCCTGTGCTTGTGGTAAAAGAAGTTTTCATTGATGCTTGGAACAAAATAGGGGACACGATGGATACGACGGTGTATCACCCCATGCGAACGGAAGATAGGGACCCGGATACCTGGCCATTTCTGATGCTGATAGGGCATGCTAAGTTCTACGAAATCAAGGAAGATAAGTTTGCCCTTTTTTTTGCTATGATGACAAAAGCTACTATTCTGAAATTGCTGAACAGTATGGAAAATGACCACCAGTCCAAAATGGGGTGCTTGAATGACAACTTTGACGACGATCATGGCCCTGTATCCCCTGCTCTTATCAACCTCATGACAAAGACCTACGAGAACAGGTTTCCAGTAAAAGCACCTTGGGAACTTGCCGTTTAAGGTCTGCACTGTAGGTTGTTTGACCTTTTTCATTCAATTCCGTTCTTTATTGGGTCTGAATATATAACAGGTAAAGAGTATTCAGCTCGCGCCGAATCATCAAATGATGATCAGATGCATCACTCGTTCAACGTTGAGGCTGCCAGACAGTCATTGGGATCAAGCCCTAACTTATGGTCAACAGGCTTGACACAGTGTAAACACTGCAGCAAACGAAGGCTGGACCAATTTGTGGTGCCTTATTGCGAAGGTCCTAAATCTATTATATAATCATACGGTCAGGTAGTTCACATCGTAGACATTGCAGCAAACGAAGACTGAAATGACGTGGGCAGTTTTATACGAAATCATGGTTAAGAAAATCGTCTGCTTCCAATATTATTTTTAGACAGCGTGATTACAGCAGCAAACAGAGACTAGACGACGTGGACCGTAAGGTTAGAATGTGGTATATCCACTATAATTGATATACATCCTAAACACCGCAGTAAACGGAGGCTGGATCAATTTATTGCACTGAAGCGTTTTTTCAACTGCACAACCATACTGTCAACGAAATATTGTATCTCACACAGAAAGGACGAACATGTGGCAGCATTGTTCCGAGCGAGTCCAATTATACAATTATACCGTTCTCAAGTGAATACGTCGGTCAGTGGAGACTGGACAAACTTGGGCAGTATTGTCCCGAACGTAATATACCATGTCAACGATAGAACACAGCAGAAATTCTTTAAGATAGCAAAGGCTGGACCAATGTGAGCAGTACTGTCCCGAACCTGTCGCACCAATCGTGCAACCATATGGTAACAGATGAAACAGTGTATACACGGCAGCGTATGGAGGCTGGATCAGCATGGTAAGTTTTTTCCTACATAACCAACTCCGCAAAAATATCGTGCGAACGGTTGGACCAGCTATGAAGGTATTGCACCAATTATACTACCAATGCTATTCGAAGACCGAGCACGCAGCTGGCGTATGAGTGATTTTGGCCGCTTCAATGTATGGGTGGCAACGTTCAATCTGATAAGAGTTGAATATACTCGCCGAGTTCCGCTCTAAGTGCTTTTTAAAATTGATTTTCTAGATTCCTCAACCTCTCGGATTGGGCGGGTGCCATACAGCACACATCAGCTATATATGTTCCACCATGGTTTACAATTATGATTCCCCATGTCAGGGTGAGGTCTATACGCCGTACTCATGCATTCGGTATAGATTGTAGATCGTGTCGCTCATTTTCCTGCCTATTGTACGTTTGCGGTTAGAGTCGAACTCCACTGGAGCTGAGACGGGGGAGTAAAACAGATTGCACGCATTTATGACCGAGACAAATGGTGAGATATGGTATTCTAGTCTGGCCATGTGTATATTCTGAACCCTCCAGCTTTAGAAAGATACAGGAAATGTACAAATCGTCTAGTTCTTGGCTTGGACAATAACCGCAGAAAGACGCGAGTTTACAAACCTGCGACAACGCAAAATAGCGTGTGTAAGTACACATTGCCGCACTAGAATAGATACATTCCGTAGTCGAAGAAACTTACCAAGTAAAGCCCGCATGTCATCTACCGTGTCACAGACAGAGTAGGCCTTTAATAGGGACTGCGTACATGGGTAGATGTCTATCACTGCTCGTGCACGCTCCGGGGTCATCCCTTTTATACACATGAGCTGCTTCGCAAACAGCAGCTGAACCGTCATAATTTGTGATTTCTTGTTTCGTCGGACATAGTCGCTGTAAACCTGTCAGTCCAAATTGCATATTAATGTCTCAAAAATATGGCCTCAAAATGCGAAGCGAATCATTGGATTACAAAGTCGAATGCTCCTACTAGGTCGAAAGCACACTGAAGGCACTGTTGATTTTATGTATCCTTAAATACATCAGCTGCAACTGCAAAATATGTACACAATCTATAAACTCGACCATAATGCGCACACTCCATTCAAAACACTCCGAGTATCCTATGGTGACTTTCTATCCTTTCTGAATTTTGAGATAGACATCAAACTTACCACCAACCCACCAACTGTGCTTTCTGAGACCTCCACGGCCGGATCGCTCGTCACCGCCTTGTCCTTGTACAGGTCCATCAGATACTTCGTGAAATACGTCAAGTACCGAACAGTGTGCTCGATGTTGTCCGTGCGCGTCACTTGCATACCAGAATGAACCTATCCAGGGTGTGAGGGTGCATATAAATTAAATTATTGAGAGTTTCTTGTAAACGTGTTTTTTATAGGTGTGAACTTTGAATTCTGCCTGAGCGTAAGGAAGACAACCATTAATGTGCGTTCTCCATGTTGTTAAATTGATATTACCTCGAAATGTCGTATTGAGGAGGAGAAAACATCCGAACTAGGCTGCCATGTAAATCAGAGCAGCAACTCCCAAGAACGCGACGAGTAGCATTGAGTCTCGGACTAAATACACTTTGTACTAAACAAGAGCCAGCCACAATCCCTACCTGAATACGGGCGATACTACTCTCCAAAGCTGCCTGCGAGAGAGTGAGCTTGTCCATTTTGCCATAGTTTTCAATCAGGTACATGCAGCGGCTGACATGGCATTTCTTCAGGCGCGACATCTGCTCTACAAAACGGCCATCCATTACAGACGCACAGAGGTCATCCATACGCTTGCGCTCACCCAGATAGCCCAGCATAATCTCCCGGTCTTGTTCCTTGGGTTGTTCGACTGACATGGTGTTTACGGCCTCGTCTGTGTGTAAAGTGAGGCAAGGAAGCAATGTACTGAGGTGTAAACAACAGCATTTGCTATATCGACGACATATAT